TCAACTAAATTTCTTTGAAATTTTGGGATTTCGGTGACCCCTGATAGAAAACCCTGAACCGATATAGTGAACCTCTCCGATTGGTATAGCACGGTACAGTTAGTTACTGACTCGGAATCATGACTAACCAACCTTAACCTCTTCATGTCATATCTTACGTTGCCACGCACTAAGCCGTCAAGCTTGCTAGCCCAAGCCGCGCGCGCTTTGCGTGATGGACCTATCGACCGGCGCCGGCTGGTCGCCGGTGAGCTGGTCGGACATGGTGTTCGACCTCCTCGCCACCGTCTTCCACACCTTCAACGACCCCGCCGACCTCCTCCGCTGCGCCGCCGTCTGCCGCTCCTGGCACGCCGCCGCTGCCTCTGTCCGTGAGCGCCACCCGCTCTTCTCCCGCCGCCCGCCGCCCCCGTGCCTAGTCTACACGGCTGACCAAGGCAACGACCACGGCGACCGGCACCGCGTCGCCACCGTATTTGCTCTCGCCGGCGGCGGGAGGACGTACGAGGTGACCCTGCCGGCTGAGCCCCCCATCCGCAACAGGTTCTAGCTGGGCAGCTCCCACGGCTGGATCGTCACCGCCGACGCCGACTCCGCCGAGCTCCGCCTCGTCAACCCCGTCACCGGCCAGCAGATCGACTCGCTCCCGCCGGTCGACACCATCGAGCACGTCAGGCACCGCAGCCAGAGCGCCGCCGCCGCCGACGACGACGAAGATGACTACGACTACGAGATCGTCCAGTATGACTGGACCATGGAGCAGCGCGACGACCGGCCACCGACCCAGGCGAAGGCCGACGAGCTCGCCGAGTACCTCATCATGCGCGCCTTCCTGTCGTCTGATCCATCATCGGACACAGTGGCGAAGCCACCGTAGGGGCCAGGGAGGGCCAACACCCCCCTAACCCCTATGTGACCTCCCCTCCCCTCTCTTCTCCCAAAGATAATTAGCCCTTATAATCTAGCCATTAATTACATCATTAGTTACGGATGAGACTAACTATATAGGACAACTGCCTAGCTATATATATAGGACTTATGAAATGACTTAGTTAACTGATTTATCATTTTAAAAATGATTGCAAGACTCCAATTAAAATCATGGAACAAACTGTTTAAATTGGCAAATTATGATCTATAGGTTCTCATTCTCTCTTCTAGCTAATCGCTATAACATGTATGATGTCGAGTTAGTGATCATACATCAACGCTACAATGTCACTGTTCACCGAACCTTAAGTGAGTTACCACGTCTCGTAGATGGCACCCCCCGTCTCTAAATCCTGGCTTCGCCACTGATCGGACAGCGGCGGCGGCGGCGGCTGCATCGTTGTCCTGCTCCACCGGCCAAAGTACCAGCTCTCGTTCGCGCGGGTGGGCGTCGACGAGCGCTGGGCTTGGGTCAACCTGCCCGACTCGGACTTCTACACCGACGTCGTCTACAACGACGACGACGGCATGTTCTACGCTATCACGTACCTGGCCGCCATCCACGCCTACGACTTCTCCGGCGGGCCCTCCGCCGTGCGCCAGACGATCGTCCTAGCCGACCAGTTACACGGCGTCATCGACAGCGAGACCAAGTACCTGGTCCGCGCCCCCGACGGCGACGGGTGGCTTCAGGTGTGGAGGATGATGAAGCCCGTGCGCGCGGCCGCGGCGCACGACGCCGGCGGCGACACGACGCGGACGACGGCAGTGTATAGGAAGACGACGATCTGGATCAAGGTGTTCCGCGTGGACCTCGCCGCGCAGAGGCTGGAGGAGACGGCGACGCTGGGCGACGGCAGCGACAGCCTCGCGCTGTTCATCGGGTGCAACAGCCGTTCTGGGTGCCGGCCGGTGGCGGCGACGGCGAGTGCCCGGCGGGCGGTGTGCTGCCCAACCACATCTACTACACGGACAACGAGGAGGACTACGCGCTGCTCTTCCCGGAGTCGCCCAGAGACATCGGCGTCTACAGCGTCGCAGACGGCAGCTTCTCGCCGTTCCGGCCAACTCAACCATGGCTGACTTGGCCATTGCCGACTTGGCTTGTTCCCAATTTCGAATACTACCATCAGTGTTAAGTTAATTAACACAGAGCAGCTAATTTGTTTGTTTGATTGATTGATTAATGTTGCGTTTCATTGTTTAAAGCTAGGTTTTCTTCTCTGATGTTTTTGTTGTTCTATAATTCTATTTATTGTTCAATCCACAATCGGGCTGAACGCGTAGACTAAAATTAACAGTTTTTTTTTCATAAATTTTGTGCTGATATGATTAGACTTTTTTTTTACCTGTATGGATTTGACCAATTTAGCTACATTTTTTAAAGCTAGAATATTTCTTTTAAGGGTCCATGCCATTGAAAATGTGGCTATTCAGAAAAATGTTATTACAATTCGTCTATTCATAGCCGTGCTACTCCAATTTTATAAAATTAGAACCATGCTACTGCCGTCACCTTTTCTATATATCTATCCTCTTCCTTTCCGTCTTCTTCCTTCCTTCTCCATCTTCTTCGCGGCCATCGCATGCCGTCGGCGTCGATGCTGGCGTCGAGCACCTCCTAGTCCCTCTCGGGAGGCACAGGGAGCGCCACCCGTGCCAGGGCTGCACCTGACGACGACGACGACTCCCACGCCGCCGAGGGAGGATCGATGTCAACGGACTGCAGGAAGCGGAGCGCACGGGGGAGGTCCCTAGAGAAGGCGGAGGAGGGGGAGGCGAGAGGAGGGAAGGGGGCGGTGGTCGCCATTGGCAGAGGTGGGAGAGTTGCCACCTGTGGCGGATTTGCGCTTTCTCACCGACGAGGTCATCGACGAGGTCACGAGACGACACCGGCAGATTTGCGCTTTCTCACTGCCCTCCCTCTCCTCCGTCTCCTCGGCGCAGCACGGTCGAGTCATCCTCCCGAGACACGCCAGCCGCAGTGCCAGTGGCCGCTGCCGACGCCCAGGTGTCCGCCACGCCTTCGCTCGATCCGAGCCTCGGGATGTCGGCCATGGGGGCCGTGGAGCTCGAGCGCGCGAGGAGGCTTGCGGCAGGGGGGTGGTAGCAAGGATCGCAAGCAATGAACAAGAAAAATCACGGTAGACCTTCCTTCTACAAGATACGAAGGCTACAATGGCAACAGTACTTCGCCAGCAGTGTGCACGCACCATAGTAAAAAGAGAAATTTTATAGTCCTTGAAAAAATAACTGGAGGAGTACCTAGTACCCAGAGGTTTGCTAAACGGATAACTCATTGCATGGTTTGACATGATCAAGCCCTGTCTTTTGTTCAACAGATAGTGCAGTAAGAGTGTAATAATTTACTTAATCAAAATTTGCTGCTCGATAAACCAGATTAGCCAGAGTTAACTTGGCGGTAGTAACCAAAGCTAGGAACAAGCCAAGTTGGTACTGGCCTTGTCAACCATGGTTGCATTGGCCGGAATGACGAGAAGCTGCAGTCTGCGACGCTGTAGACGCCAATGTCTCTCGGTGCCGCGGCTCTCTGGATCAAGGTGTTCCGCGTGGATCTTTCCGCGCAGAGGCTAGAGGAGATGGCGACACTGGGCGACGGCGGCGACAGCCACGCGCTGTTCATCGGGTGCAACCAGCCGTTCTGGGTGCCGGCCGGCGGCGACGGCGAGTGCTCCAGCGGCATTCTGCCCAACCACATCTACTACACGGATAAGGAGGATGGCAACACGGAGGCGCCGAGAAACATTGGCGTCTACAGCATCGCAGATGGCAGCTTCTCGCCGTTTCAGGCAACTCAACCATGGCTGACATGGCCATTGCCGACTTGGCTTGCTCCCAATTTCAGTTACTATCGTCAAGACTAAGCTAGGAAGAACTAAATCGACACGGGGCAGCTAAGTTTGTTTGGTGATTACTCTCTGTTTCATATTATAAGTCGATTGATTTCTCTTTCACTCAAAATTGTTTAAGTTTGACCAAATTTATAAAATGATATAGTAAAATTTTCAACACAAAACAAATATTTTATTAGAATATATTCAATATTAGATTTAATAAAACTAATTTGATATTATATATGTTGCTAAACTTTTCTATAAAAAGACGAACGACTTATAGTATGAAACGAAATGAGTAATTTTACAGTAGTTGAGTAGGTACCGTATTTTCTTGTTTGATCCATTGATTAGTTGTTGCTGCTTTCATTATTTAAAACTATATCTTTTGTTTTCTCTTATTTTTTATTGTTCTAATCATCGTTCAATCCAAATGTTATCTCTTATTTTTGAATTTTTCTAATCATCGTTCAATCCAAATGCAAGGCTGACCGCATAGATTAAAATAGAGTTTTTTTCTTCTAAATTTTTTTTATGACGATAAGATTGGATTTTTTTTAACTTATATGGATTGACCAATTTAACGACATATTTTAAAGCTAGAACATTTTTGGTTGAGGACCCTAGGCTGTGAATTTTGAACTTCATATATATATGAAACAGGGGAGGGGCTCTGAGAGTACTGAAATAGGGAATATCTGATTAGCCCTATTTGAGCAACATTTTGTTGTTTTAACCATTTTCTTAAAAGAAAAATCTCTTTCCATTCCACTCTCAATATAATCATTACCAACAAACGCTTCGTCTGCATGCAAATATCAACCTGTTCGTTGTCTACATGGAAATATCAACTTTAATTTTATTATTTTGAATCTTCGACTCCTAAAGAAGACAATAATCACGCAACATTTGCAACATGCATCGCCCTCTGCATGACTGTAAGGGTAACAAGTAGTTTCTTTCCACCTTTTGTTTTTGCAGTTATTGAGTTTGTCTCTCTTCTAAACATTTCTCCTTAATACAAAGGTGTATATCTTGTGAGCATTAATGAAAAAAGTATGGGATTTACCCCAACCAGATCGACATAATGCTAAAAGCATGAACCTTATTACCAGCTCTAGACACATACAATGCATGTCTCAACTTTCATCATCTTTTTTTTATATATATAATGGAATATACCCGGACTCTACATGTCTCAATTTTCTTAGCCTATATATATATGAGGGATTCATGCATATAACTAAATAAGTGGTGGTTGCACAAATCACTTGGATTTGTCTTTGCTGCCAACTACATCGTTCTAGTTAGGATTGGAGCTCCTATTTGGTCAGCATGTCGGATGAGCAACATGAGGCATACCTCGCCGCGTCGGTGAAGTTCGATGACGGCATGATTTTGTGTTGGGAGTGTTTTAAGTCGAACAATAAAGATTCGACTAAAGCACGACATTACGAAGATCTAATTAAACACAACAAATCGAAGCATGCTAGGAACAAATTTATATGTGGCAAGTGCGGTTGTTCCTTCTATAGCGAGGGAGAGGAGGGCACACATGATCGTATAGTCCACAGTACCTAGCCAGGTATATGGTGTTATATGAGATTGAAAATTTTTACATTGCATTTTGTAGTTTAATTCTAACCTCAATTGTTTGTTTGATTTTTTTCCCCTTGAAGGTCATTGGGCTGCTAGGTGGAAGAAATTAATAATTTGATGGATTTAGTGGTTCTCACTTTAGGAGGATTCCAACTAGAGCTCCATCAGCTAGATTATTAGTCTTAGATAATTTCTTTAATCATTAGTAGTTGTGCTTGCTGCCTATAGCTTTAGTTGTTCTCGCTTCATGAGGATTCTATTTGTAGCCTAATCATTTTATTATTGATGTTGTTAACTTTGCCGCCTTTCATTATGATCTAAGTTAATCTGTCTAATTATTTAATTGTCAGTAATTTGGCACTATATTTTGATTACTCTCGAGTGATGGTTCAAAGCATCTGCTTAATTTATGCATTCTAATTTGAGTTGAATAATTTCAGTGTTGCTACCTTTAAAACACTCTAATGCAATGAACCATATGAACTCTAATGACATTAAAATTTCTTAACAGAATCCCGTACAATAGTTTAGTAAAAAGGAGAACCATGGATGAATCTGTTTTCATTGAATATTAAGTACGACCATGCATACATCGTTAGCTGCGGTGCAGTCTACCGGTAGCTCCTGGCATATAGCCGCAATGTCCACCTATGAGCGTCACCCGCTCTTTCTCTAGCAGCGCACAAACACCGTAGTTTACGTGGCTGTCCCGAGCAGCAACAAGGGTGAAAGACGCACACTCATGAGAGTGTGTGCTCCGCTCCGGCATCCCGATTGCACATCACCCATCGACACCGCGCCCATTACCACCACCCATGTCCACCGCTGCCGCTCCGTCTAGGCAACAACACAAGATTGAGACAGAGACCGAATAATGTTCTAGATGACTGAAAGTTTGGCAATGCATCCGATCTTCTGTTCTAGATGACTGAAATTTTGAAAATACCAAAGATCAAGACTGAATTGTTCGGTCTGATCAAGTACCGGCCACTCTTAACCTGTGAAGCTATTTCTTTTCGAACCGGATACTGTGGAGAACACGGTGTTGGAGTTACATTCAACTGAGTTCACTTGAAGAGGGTTTAGATTTAGTGAATAGGTTCCATCTAGGTAGAAACAAGCAAGTTGATTATATCCTATTGCCTCTCTTTCAAATGAAAAATAAACTTTCGACGATACAAATCTTAACTAGTGAACTTTTGATATCATGAAACTATCTATCTATCTATTATATACTAAAAGTCCATTAGATTTTCTAGAAACGCTCTCATACCGCCATGTGGCACCCTACAAACACTCCTATGCCGCCACGTGGCGCTCTAATAAATTTAGAATTCTAAAATAAATCTAACCGTTAGTTTTCATTTAATCTGGTGGACCCATTATTTTTTACCATTGGATCTATAATAAAAATAACCAATCCGATTTATCTTAAAAGGCCCACGTAACCCCCATAGGTGTATAGGTGCATGTACGTACGTACGTCATGTACGGCCCCACGTTCATCTTTTCTCCTTTTTTCTTTTTTCGATCACAAGAATAAAAACCGAATTAATTATTTCAGCCCATAGATATTAAATCCAGCCTATATATATGCAAAAATATATGTACATGCCAATAATATATTATTTTTTTCATATATTATATATATTATTTAGTACGTTGGGCCCCACGTCCCTCCTTTTCTTTTTTTTTCTTTTTGACTCGCATCACATAAAACTCAAATTAATAAATAATAATTATTAATCTATCTATCTATTATATACTAAAAGTCCATTAGACTTTCTAGAAACGCTCTCATACCACCATGTGGCACTCTACAAACACTCCAATGCCGCCACGTGGCGCTCTAATAAATTTAGAATTCTAAAATAAATCTAACCGTTAGTATTCATTTAATCTGGTGAACCCATTATTTTTTACCATTGGATCTATAATAAAAATTACCAATCCGATTTATCTTAAAAGGCCATAAACCGCCGTGTGGCATCTACAAACGCTCCTAAGCCGCCACGTGGCACTCTAATAAATTTAAAAAAATACTATAAATCCGGAGAAAAGAACATCTAACTATCCACTTTCACTTAAATTGATGGGCCCATTATTATTTTAACCGTCAGATTTAATCTCATACAAACAGAGAGATGGAAAGAAAGACCACGTACCTTCCCCACCTCTCCCCTCAGTCGTTGCATTTTCCCTCTCCCCCCGTACACCCCTCTCTCTCCCTCCCCTCTACGTATAATTCTTTTTTCCTATATTAGCTAACGGCGGAAATTCGATTGAAAAATTTCAACATTTGTAACATCTAAATCATATATCCTGAAAAATAAACATCTACCCTTTAATTTTTATTAAAATTAGTGGACATAACACTTCAAGCCATTAAATCAGATTTATGTTTTCTCATCCTTAAAAAAAAAAAACGTACATCCTCCTCTCTGTTTTCTTTTAGGAAATCCTCTATTTTTTTCCCTCACATTCTCTCTTTATGAAAGCTTTTGCAACAATAAATTTTAAATAAGCATACTTCTAAATACATAATATTTGCAACAGTAAATTTTAAATTATACTAACTTTTTAACTTTTAAATTATAAGTTCAATTTTTTTATCTATTTGTACCATTGTGTTATTTATGATTAAAATCACAATTAGAATTTAAGACACATGTTGACTATATTTTAAATTGTAAAATTATATTCATTTAAGTTTTGTTGAGAACCTTTACATGTTATTCAAACATATATGAACAATTATTAAAAGAAAGTGACATTATATACTATTTCATCATATATCACTTCACCAGCATGCATAACTAAAACAGATTTATGAACTTCAAAAAGTTCTAAAAATTCTGAATTATGAGAAAAACAAAATATAGATTATACCATAATTTGATGCATCACAAAACATGCATAACTAAATAAGATTTACTTAAAAAATAATGAGTCATATCCTAGCTGTTTGTCCACCTATATATCATTCAGAGCTTAAGATAGAAATGACCTATTATGTACCAAATTCTACTTGATAAGGCCATAGAAATTATATGGAAGTAAAGATAAAGCTAAATTTTATTTCTATATAACATGATAATATGTTCAGTTTTAGAACAAGCAAGCAAAAGCTGCATGTGTATTGTCCTGTGTATCTATCTATTATATATGAAAAATCCATTAAACTTCCTAAAAAAAACTCTCAAGCCGCCACGTGGCATTCTAATAAATTAGAGAAAACCTTACAAATTTTGAGAAAAAAGAAAAACATCCAGCCCTCGATTTTTATTTAATTCGGCGGACCCACTATTTTTAAACCATTAGATTTATTTAAAATACATCTCAAATAATAATATATATGCGTACTTCCGTACTATACTACTCACGGCAAAAAAAAAGAAAAAAACGTAATTACCATTGTAAGAAGAAGGATTAACCCTGCCACAGTCCCACCTAATTGGTACGAGAGAAATGTATATACGTACTGTTCACCCAAAAAAACCCAAAAAACTATAAAAAAGTTCTCACATGTACAATACGTACTACTATCCACCGGATTGAGAACAAAAAAAATATCCTGGGCATGTACATACTACGCACCGTCAACCCGTCCCTAATAAAGTTATCAATAATGTTGGATATTTTCTTGAGAAACAAAGTACAAATGTGGGCGCTCACAACGCACGTACACTTACCCCTACGAACGCACACACGTACACTCTACCCCTATGAGTACCTCTGAGAGATTGGGCCGATATATTTTGAGATCGACAAAGTCACCATGAATGCCTCGCTGTCGATGGATACGTCGTCTGAAAGAATTTGTCAAGTCCGGGACTTGAATATGAGTAGGAAATTTCCACCACAAGGAACCTAACCAGTTGAACTATGTTCAATTCAAAATAATGTTGGATATTAAAACAACCATTTAAACCAGTGAAACCATTATTTTTAATCGTTAGATCTATCTTATATAAGAAAAACAATCGTTTATTCATGGTACATCACATTTCAAAAATATTATTGTGCAATTATATTCACGTTAGGTTGCGTAGAACCTCTTACCCACTCTACATGAAATGTTTATAGATGGATTGTCTCTCAAACTATATCAATCATATTATGCTATATAAAATTTAGTGGAGTTTCATGTGCCACCAAATTCATCCTCTAATAAACCATGATAATATATATGCAATAAAAGAATGAAAAACACACTACTTTTGCTTTACACTTACTTTTACTTTCGTTGAAATATTATCATGATGTGATTTGATGTTTCAATAGCTGGGCAGGTCATACAGTGTGGGTTGGAATCCCATTTTTTAAGAACCCTGTTTGCATTGGTGTTGAGCCTGTCTCGGAACGCTAACCACAAAAAGATCCTGCAAGTGTTGGGGATAGCCTTGTTCCAGATAAGTGTTGCCGGCTGCCAAAGGATGCCATGATAAGTCAACAAGTTGTAGTTTGCTGATGTTGTGATATCTGTGGAACCAAGCAGCAGTGTTCTTTTGTCGGGGACATTCTGTTGTATGTGTTGGTCCAACAATATATCCATGAGGGACTGTAACTCGGTTTGAGCCCGGGAAGAGAGAACCGGGTGTAGATCAATTGTCCAGGTACCGTTAGTGTGTTGGGAGGAGACTGTACAGTTGATATTTGTTGCGTAGGAAGCTAGTGTCGGATATATGAGGTTGAATCGTCCTACTGCTGTCCAGTGGTCTCGCCAAAACTGCACTAGCTGGCCGTTCCCAATCGTTACCTTAGTGGAGGCAATAACTGGCTCGATAACGGAACAGACTGTCTTCCAAATCGGTGTTTCTGTTGGTTTTGCTTTAATAGGGATCTCATTTGCCATGTGTTGCGTGCGCAACCATTGAAAACATGGTTCTGATGAGTCTGATAACAACTTGCCTCCTATCTTCATAAGTAGAGCCATGTTGTGAGCTCTCAAGTCACGGATTCCCAATCCTCCTTGTTCCTTGTTGAGAGTGATAGTTGGCCAGGCCACTAAACATTGACCTCCTTTTACTTTCTTATCCCCTTTCCAAAGGAATGCCCTCCTTAGGCGATCAACTGCTTCGATGGTTTTGTCTGGCCACTTGATTCTGGACATGAAATAGTTTGGTATTGCCGACATGACTGAGTTGATCATGATGAGTCTTTCACCCCAACTGAGAAGGCCTGGGATCCATCCTGCTAGCCTTCGATCTATTTTGTCAATGACTGGTGCAAGCAACTTGTGTGAGATTTTGGACGTAGAGAGTGGAAGACCTAGATAGTTACAAGGAAGCGGGCTGATGGGGCATTGCAAAAGCTCAGCGATGGCCCTTGCCTCGGGTTCATTCATGTGTATGGGTACAAAGGTACTCTTGCTGAAATTGATCTGTAGCCCTGAGAATGCAGCAAATTCCTCAAGAATGCCGTTAATTATTTCAGCCTGCTCAAGCGATCCTTTTAAAATAAGTAGGGTATCATCAGCGTATTGCAGCGTGGGAGGAGGAGAGTGAGAATCCAGTGGGTGGAGTAACTACTCGGAGTGGAAGGCTTGCTGTATCATTTGCTGTAGGACGTCAGCGACTAGGATGAAGAGATATGGGGAGAGAGGGTCACCCTGACGGACCCCTCTCCTGTACTTAAATGACTCGCCTGTTGATCCATTGATCAATATGTGTGCTTGTCTAGTTTCCAAAATCTGTTTGATCCAATTGATCCATGTGTCGTCGAATCCTCTGCGGTGTAGGACCAAGTATAAGCAATCCCAGTTAACTGTGTCAAAAGCTTTTTTGGAAGTCAAGCTTTAGAATAATCGTTGGTTTTTTCCTTTTGATTGCACATTGAACAATGTCAGAAGCTAGTATAAAATTCTCCGTGATTGATCTTCCTTTGATGAATGCAGATTGCATTGGATCAATTAACTCATGAATTTCCCCTTGAACCCGGTTTGCTAGCACTTTGCTGATAAGCTTTGGCAGACTGTGTAGCAAGGATATTGGCCTGAAATCTGTTATGCTGAGAGGGGTTACTTTTTTCGGAATTAAAGTGATGTAAGAGATGTTAACCCCTGAAAGATCGGCTGCATTGGCATGGAAGGAATTGAACAGTGCGATCAGGTCAGGCTTAAGAGTAGAGATGAAGCATTTGTAGAACTCATTTGTGTATCCATCAGGACCCGAGCTTTTATTTGGAGGCGAGTGCAGGATGGCGCTTGAGATTATATTGAGAGTGGAAAGAGAAATTTAAAAAGGTTAACAACAAATGTTCCTCAAATGAGGATAATCAGAACTAATGAGACATATTACAAAAGCACAAAACAAAGCCCCTCCCTGTGTATGTATTACTATACGATCAGATGAAGTTAACTGAAGAAACGAGTTCCATTTTTTTTTTCGCTTGAAGAGGTGGTGAACTAGTGATGACTAGAGAAGTTCGGAGCATTTACAAAATATTCTAGCTTTAAAAAAAATATAGTTAAATTGGTCAAATCCATACAGGTAGAGAAAAAAAGAAGTCTAGTCTTATCAGCACAAAATTTAATTTAGAAGGAAAAAAGAAAAGTCACACTCTATGCACAGCCCGACATTTGGATTGAACGATGATTAAAAAAAAATCAGAGACAATAAAACGTAGATTTAAATAATGAAAGCAACAAAAAACAACCAATCAATGAATCAAACTTAGCTGCTCTGTGTTAATTTAGTTCTTCCTAACTTAACCTTGACAGTAGTAACCGAAATTGGGAACAAGCCAGATCGGCAATGGCCAAGTCAGCCATGGTAGAGATGGCCGGAACGGCGAGAAGCTGCCGTCGGCGACGCTGTAGACGCCGATGTCCCTGGGCGCCTCCGGGTAGAGCAGCGCGTAGTCCTCATCGTTGTCCGTGTAGTAGATGTGGTTGGGCAGCACGCCGCCCGCCGGGCACTCGCCGTCGCCGCCGCCGGCCGGCACCCAGAACGGCTGGTTGCACCCGATGAACAGCGCGTGGCTGTCGCCGCCGTCGCCCAGCGTCGCCGTCTCCTGCAGCCTCTGCGCGGCGAGGTCCACGCGGAACACCTTGATCCAGATCGTCGTCTTCCTATACACCGCCGTCGTCGGCGTCGTGTCGCCGTGGGTGTCGGCAGCGCGGCGCACGGGCTTCAGCATCCTCCACACCTGCAGCCACTCGCCGCCGTCGGGGGCGCGGACGAGGTACTTGGTCTCGAGGTCGATGACGCCGTGCAACTGGTCGGCTAGGACGATCGTCCGGCGCACGGCGGAGGGCCCGCCGGACAAGTCGTAGGCGTGGATGGCGGCCTGGTGCCTGACAGCGTAGAACATGCCGTCGCCGTCGTTGTAGACGACGTCGGTGTAGAAGTCCGAGTCGGGCAGGTTGACCCAAGCCCAGCGCTCGTCGACGCCCACCCGCGCGAACGAGAGCTGGTACTTTGGCCGGTGGAGCAGGACAACGATGCAGCCGCCGCCGCCGCTGTCCGACGATGGATCAGACGACAGGAACGCGCGCATGAGGAGGTACTCGGCGAGCTCACCGGCCTTCGCCTGGGTCGGTGGCCGGTCGTCGCGCTGCTCCATGGTCCAGTCGTACTGGACGATCTCGTAGTCGTAGTCATCTTCGTCGTCGTCGTCGGCGGCGGCGGCGCTCTGGCTGCGGTGCCTGACGTGCTCGATGGTGTCGACCGGCGGGAGCGAGTCGATCTGCTGGCCGGTGACGGGGTTGACGAGGCGGAGCTCGGCGGAGTCGGCGTCGGCGGTGACGATCCATCCATGGGAGCTGCCCAACCATGACCTGTCGCGGATGGGGGGCTCAGCCGGCAGCGTGACCTCGAACGTCCTCCCGCCGCCGGCGAGGGGAAAGATGGTGGCGGCGCGGGTGTTGTCGTCGCCGTCGCCCGAGGCAGCAGCCGTGTAGACTAGGCACGGCGGCGGCGGGCGGCGGGAGAAGAGCGGGTGGCGGTCGCGGACGGAGGCGGCGGCGGCGTGCCAGGAGCAGCAGACGGCGGCGCAGCGAAGGAGGTCGGCGGGGTCGCTGAAGGTGTGGAAGACGGTGGCGAGGAGGTCGAACACCATGTCCGACCAGCTCGCCGTTGCCGGCGACGTGACCATCGAGGACGATAGGTCTATCATGCGAAGCGCACAGCTAGCTCGACGATGGGTGACTGTGATTTGATTGCGATTTGCGTGCGTATGCGTTAGATATGCAGTTCGGCCGGTCACGCACGATTCCAACTCGATCGGTAACTGAGTGTACGGACTATGTATATGCACGGGATGAAACCGGTATTGAAAATCCCAACCGCATCCCCTTCCGTTTTGTACCGACGACGGTTTCTTCCATGACCATTGTTGCGGCTGGTATGCTGTTTTGGTACGGAATTCCCGAACAAATTAGGAGAATATTTTGTAGCAGGTGCCCAATGCAAACAAAAATAAGAGTTAATTGCACTTTAGTCCAACCTTTTTTCTTTATATTGCAATGTTAAAAAAAATATATGTTTCAATAATTAAAAGAATTGTGTTTCATATGTGAGAAAGGGAAAGTAGTTTCAACTCAACTTTGTTGCACATTTTTAGGCCCTGTTTAGTTTTCAAAACAAAAAATTTAACAATGTCACATCGAATGTTTGGACATATACATGGAGTATTAAATATAGGAAAAAACCAATTACATATATTGTGTGTAAATTGCGAGTCGAATTTTTAAGACTAATTGCGTCATGATTTGACAATGTGGTGCTACAGTAAACATTTGCTAATTGTCACGCAGTTTCCTGGCGGAATCTGCAATTTGTTTTGTTATTAGACTACGTTTAATACTTTAAATGTGTGTCCGTATATCCGATATGACGACCAAAACAAAAAATCTTCCCCAACTAAACAAGGTCTTAGTTTTCTTGTTGTAATGGATATTTCTTTAGTATTGCACCTGGTATTATTCGAATGTTTCGACAAGTAATATCGTTTGCAAATGTTGCATATGGTATTTTCTCATGTCAAGTCCATGATTCATGGCGACCACCGCCTCCTTCTTCCCTCCCCTCACCTCCCCCTCCTCCGCCTCCTCCAGGGACCTCCCCGTGCGCTCCGCTTCCCGTAGTTCGTCGACATCGAGCCTCTCTCGGCGGCGTGGGAGTCGTCGTCGTCGTCAGGTGCAGCCGTGGCGTGGGTGGCGCTCCCCGTGCCTCCCGGGATGGAATGGGAGGTGCTGGACGCCTGCATCAACGCCGATGACATGCGATGGCCGCGAAGAAGATGGAGAAGGAAGGAAGAAGACGGAAAGGAAGAGGATGGATGGAAAAGGTGACGGCAGTGGCATGGTTTTAATTTTGTAAAATTGGAGTGACATGGTTACGAATAGACGAATTGTAATAGCATTTTTCTGAATAGCCACATTTTCAATGGCATGGACCCTTAAAAGAAATATTCTAGCTTTAAAAAATGTAGCTAAATTGGTCAAATCCATACAGGTAAAAAAAAAGTCCAATCATATCAGCACAAAATTTATGGAAAAAAAAACTGTCAATTTTAGTCTACGCGTTCAGCCCGATTGTGGATTGAACAATAAAAAACTATGCATGCCGTTATTTTTTGGCCTATTCTCTGTCAGCCTTACGAAGATAGATATAATTAATTGACTAATTGACTTTGAGTTAGACAATGTAAAAGGTAATCTTCTTTTTGATAATGATGTAAAAAGTAATCTAAACGATGTACATGCTCCTGTCACTGTCAGTTAATGAAATCAACTGTTTGTTCAAAATTGTTATGGGTTTTCTTACACAGCTTTCATTCAACTCTCTTATAATACACTATTAGAGAAACGATAAAAGGACTAGTACCATAGATGCCGGAAATGTAATAACTGACACCTACAGTATTTTTTTCGTTCAAGCGCGCGCCTGTGGGGAACCATTTTCAAGAACCGACACCTATGTAATGACATAAGTGTTGGTTTAAAAGGAACCGGTACCTATGAGTCTTGCCAAACATAGGTGTCGGTTCCTATTAAAAATCGACACTTATATCTAAGTCATCGGTACTAGTTTTTTATAAAATGATTGTTATAATTGAGTCATCAGTACTGGTTTTATAAAAGGTGCCTATCGTTAGATGGATGTTGATGAATATTTTCTTGGATTCGATCCGATGCAACGAGCTGGATTTTTTTTCATTCCTGAAACCTCAGTCCTCCTCATTGGTGCCGCTTAAGGGATGCTGGCCGGGAAAAGTCCGGTACGTACCCATATGGGTTTCCTGGCCAGCTAGCACCAAATCCCTTTTTAAGTAGTAGCATAAAGTTGGGTGTGAAGGGTAAATGCTCATTATATTGTCCTTACTCTGCATTTGCTTTGATAATTCTGCAGCCGAAATGTTTCTGATGCGCATTTTTAGCGCAGATGATCATGTCTTGGCCAGTGAAAACAGATTCTACAACTTATTGTCCTCTGATTTTAAGGGGCTGGTATGGGGACCCATATCGTGGGCTCATATATAAATGACACAAGTACTTTAAAAGGAGCTTCTTTCCTTGGCCAATCGATCATCTCTTTGTGCGATTTGCCGGTTCAGACTTCAAACTTCAAAGTCAGCATGCTACTCCTTCGTACATCCAGGTCCATTTGTTTAAGAAGAGCTATTTAGTCAGAACATCGAGAGCTTGTTCGGATCGACACCAATGTAAACTTTTGGTTAAAGACGAGATTTGGCTACTGTCAAAATTTTGGCAAATTAATCTAGTCAAAAGGCAAGAGTATGTGATTTTTTTTTTGAAGCAATCAAGTGTATGTGCTTTGGTTTTCTTGCCGACGTTTTTGGCAATGCCAATTCTTTTGCAAATTGCAACAAACGAAACATATGTTTACTTCCATTTGCATTACTATTTTTGGTATATGGTTGAATACGGCAATGAATTAACCAAACAGGCCTGTTATGGCTGACGTTGCTTAAATTTGTGCTGAGATTATGTCTAGACCGTGTCAATCGATTCTCTGTGAAGAATGTACGTCCTGCCGTACATCGACTTTTTCAGCGGCTGTGTTTAGTTCCGAAAAAAAGTTGAAAGTTCGGAAAAAGTTGGAAGCTTAGAAAAAAAAGTTAGAAGTTTACGTGTGTAGGAAAGTTTTGGATGTGATGTGATATGATGGAAAGTTGGAAGTTTGGGGTAGTTGAGGGTGAACTAAACACGGCCTAAATAAAGTCTAAGGCTGTAATCTGTTAATTGATCTTATTGGTGCAGTTTCGTAACCATACCCTAATCAGATTGATCTTGTCAGCTTCGTTATGACTGTAGGAAAGGCTTGCTTTATTTATTTATTTTTCCTCAAGAGCAAGCGACAAGACAAGATGGGTGTTTCTCCCTTAGAGTTCTTAGTTATGCAAATAGTTATTGTTTTTTACTGAAATAATTATTAGAAATTTTGAGAACACTATATAAACATTTTAGATCAATATATAATATTTCATTCTAAAAACGGATAAGTTTAAATTCACAAGAAATAGCATACTCATATATATGATTGTGAACAAAACATGTAATATATCGTTGATTTCTATAGGCCCTAAGTCATAGGCAATTCAATAAATACATGTGTAAGTGGTTTATCACCCGCCTGTAAAAAATAGTTGTGTAGCAGTGTCCAGACAACTTGGGGGGATATTGGTTCAAGTGTTCAACCAAGCTCACTTCAAAAAGGTTTTGGTTCATGCCCTCTTCAGTTCCCAAAGCAAAATTTTCACGATGTCACATTGAATGTTTGGACATATGTATGAAGTATTAGATATAAGCAAAAAAACAATTACACAGATTACGTGTAAATTGCAAGACGAATCTTTTAAGACTAATTGCGCTATTATTTGATAATGTGGTGCTACAGTAAATATTTGCTAATGACGGATTGATTAGGCTTAATAAATTTGTCTCACAGTTTCCTGACGGAATATGTAATTTGTTTTGTTATTAGACTACGTTTAATATTTTAAATGTGTGTCCATATATTCGATGTGACAACCAAACCCAAAAATTTTCCCCAACTAAACAAGGCCTCAGTTCAATATGCTAGAACGTAGGGTAAGCTCATCTTTCCGTAACGGCGTGTTTAGCAATTTAATGGAAGGGGACGGGAAGTTTAGAGGGAGATTTGGTGATGGATTGGTCATGGGAGTTTGGTTTTTAATCCTAGTCCCTTGTTTAGCTAAAAAAATAGAGTAATAGGAAGTTTTGGGAGGAATCAGATTTTAAGTAATGATGGATGGCTTAGATCTAATTGTTTGTACTTGCTACTTAGAGAAGGAACTCCCTAAGCCATCCATCATTACTTAAAATCTAAAGTATACACTTAGAGGGTGAAGGTGAGGGTGACTCTGATACCACCGCCACCCCAGCCATTCATGCAAGTATTGTCTATACAGGGAGATTGGATGGTGGTATCAGAAACAAGAGAGTTCAATCTCCCTGTCCCAATCCATCAAAAACCCCCACACCACCATCCAAAGTTCCAGACAAAGGAACTAGAGAAGTTTTATGGTTTTTGCGAGGTACGTAGAGGTATTGAAAGGTGAATCAATGTGGATTATTGATTAAGAGAGGGGTAAGGTATGGAATAAAATTATTGTAGCTTGTCTATTGTCGCCTAAACTGTTGCATCATTCTTCTATCTAATCTGCTGTTATTTTTATCCTCCGCCTTGTAAATTAGATTAAAATCTCCCAAGATTAACCATGAAGGTAGGCTTGTTGGAGCCACATCCTGTAATTCTTGAAGGAAGAGAAGTTTGGCAGCATCTTCCTATGGACCATAAGCCCCTGTTATTGTCCAGTAGGCATTTGTTTCTCTCATAGTCACCTTGGCTGTTAGGGAAAACATACGGAGATCACAATGTGACAAGGTAAAATAGTTCTCATCAGCTGCCAGGATTATACCACCCCTAGATCCCTCTGCAGGCAGGAAAAAGAAATTGTTCTGAAAATTTACTCCATTTGTTTCAATTATGCAGGCCTTATCTACATCTTGCAGCTTTGTCTCTTGCAGGCAAACCAGAGTTGCATTCTGCTGTTGAAGGAGATTTCTGACCGCCTCCCTTTTTGCTGGTGCATTCAGACCTCTAACATTCCAGCTTACAATCTTGCAATGTTATTGAAACATAAAGCTAAGTTTAAACACTGCAGATAAGTAGAACCAAGAAAGAAAGGAAGAGGCCACATAGACCGTTGTTTTGCTGCAGCAAAAGATAGAGCATCATTCATAAACATAACCTCCTGAGAGTTCT